TACCTACACACACGTTCTTTATATATGTGCATGTATATTTAAGTATTTATCTATCTACCTACCAATCTAATCTGTCCATGTATGTATGTATGAATGTATGTATGTATGTATGTACGTATGTATGTACGTATGCATGCATGCATGCATGCATGCATGCATTCACGCACGTCTTCATACGGAATCGGTGCACTTAGTCGTGGTATCGTCTTGCATGTTTATGGCCAAGTTGAATCAGCATTGTCCTCCGTGTTTCCCCACCGAAGATCTTGTCACATTACTTGACTATCGGGGCCGTTAGTAGCTCCTAAAGCGTTTTGTGGTTTCGGTGTTGCGACCCCCAAACGCGATACGATTGAAACCCCGAAAGACATTGCCCTACCTTGTTGGTCTCAGTCTTGTTCCCGCATGTGTCTAAGAGGACCGCCTATGGGCAGATCGCATCGCTTCCACCAGAAGAACACCACCATGGGCGTCCTGAGTGAAGACGCCCGCACCTTCACGAAGCGCTCCAACAAGGCTTGTTTGTCGGCTTTTAGGATTCAGGGGTCTTCAGGGTATATTTCTTTGCGGCTTATTCATGCTCAGGCGAGCTTTAGGCTGCCACTTGCGGCGTATTGCGGTAGGGCAAAGACACATAGTCAGCTGGTAATTAATCGTGCGTGCAGAGGAAGCTCCAGCAAAGAGAAACACAAAATGCCAAGCGACATGTGTCCAGTCTAAGCCAGCATGGAACACTGAACGAGCCGACGCCATAGACAAGCTTTCAACATAGTATATACGTATGCACGCTTGCAGGCACGATACCATGCACATATGCAATGCGTGATCTTCATCGGCACCATGACTATCGTCAGCAGCCTGCCTCCCATTGTAGTCATCATCCTCGTCATCGTCACCATCATCCTCATCTTCTTCCGGCGCAGTAGAGAGTCTCGGACTCGGCTAGCGGGTGCTAAACAAGACCTTTGGCCGGCCACTATGATGTGGCCGCACGAGTGCTTCATGTGAGCATGCCTACCTTGGGAAAGCATGATGATCACTCGGCCAACTAAGGCCAGCACCATCTTTAAACACCCCATGCCGAGCTCATCATCATCATCATCATCATCATGGTCATCATGATCATCATCACCGTCACTGTCATTATGAGCATCATCATCGTCCTCGTCCTCGCCCTCGTCCTCGTCGTCGTCCTCCTCCTCCTCCTCCTAATTGTCATCATCTGTTTCCGCATTGTCATCGTCACCGTCATCATCATCACCACTGTATCATCATCTTTATCATCAGCAGAATCGTCATCACCATCACCACCACTGTCACCGCCATCATTCACCATCATCATCATCATCATCATCACGCTCATCATCACTACCGTCATCATTATCATCGTCCCCATCGCCATCATCATCATCGTCGTCGTCATCATCATCATCATAGCCGTCATCATCACCATCATCATCGCAACACCAGCAGTGTTAACTAATGTTAACTACTGTCTGATGCAACGTGCAATGCCTCAGCGCTAAAACATGTGAATCCAACCGATGATCGCGGACAGGGCAGACTTAGCATCGTCTGCGAGAACAAGGTCCACTTCCACGGGACCGTGCGTTATGCCGTCACTGGGCAGACAAGTCTTCTTCTAGGCCCTAAGCCCGAAAACATGAACTCAAGTCGCGGGTCGTGCGAGGTGCAGTTCACCGACGGCGAGCTTTGCAGCGCAGATGGAGCAGCATGGCGTAACGAGGTTCAGTCTTCCCTCGGAGGTCAGCACATCTTGATGGAATCTTGGGACATCTGTGAGACAAGCTCTGTACGCCTGTTCAAGCCGCTTGCAACTGTGTGATCATAGGCTGGTTTCTTGCCGCAACCTGATGCGCAAATCATAGTCTGCAAGGTGGGCTTCATCATCTCCTCGGATCTTCCTTGCACCAAGAACATTCAAAAGATCGTGTCGGTGTTTGCCAACAGAACCGGGCGAATCTGCGGCCTGGTCCCGATGGGTACGGTAAACACCATAAGGTTGGACACTGGTATCAAAATTGCTGGAGTCTTCGATGCTTCAGTCCTGCTTAGATCTAAACATACGCAGATCAAAACTGAATACTCTAATGCATGCGGGAATCAACATCGACTGTACTGTGAATGTACGTGAGATATATGTGTGTATGTATATATATTTATACCTCTCTCTAAATGTTTTCGTGCACAAGAAGAAGGATACATCGATAGGGGGTCATCTATTGGCGCATGCCCAAGTCAAACATGCGCACGGCGAAAGACTTTTTTGTTGAGCCGAGCGCGCGCTCGGTTGACGTCCATTCCCAAATCTTCAAGTGTTAGAGGTGCCTTAATACCTGGGTACATGCCAAGCATCATGCTACCAATTGCCACTCAAAATTCCCACGCATGAGTACTCGTGAACATTCCCGAAGACTAGGACTAGGAGTAAGTTTGTTTACTTTCTGACTTAAGCCAGCTACTTGTCACAACCTGCTGTCGTGCCAGCAGGCATTCGGGTGCACGACGAGGTCGAACGTTGCCCGCAAAGGGTGAAATGCTTGGAAGTGGGAGACTGGTTGGAGGCGGAATGCCGTGGCAGCGTCTGGGGTCTAGTGTTCGGGGTTAGGGCTCCAGGCCTCGTCCGGGGCAGGATACTCAATAAGGGGCATGCTCACCTGGCAATGGCTCAAGAGGCTCTGTGTGCCGCTTCGCATGTTTTGCTGCAACATGAAAAGTTTATCTGTGCTTCTGTCCTGCCAGCCGTGTTCGTTGTCTTCGTGGCTGTCGACGTAGTTTGCTGATTGTTCGTACTAGTCCTAGTACCAGTACTAGTGCTAGTACTACGTAGTACTACTAATAGTACTTGTACTAGTCCTAGCACTAGCACTAGTACTAGTACCAGTACTAGTGCTAGTGCTACTGCTGCTGCTACTACCACCACTACTACTGCTACTACTAGTACGTCTACGACTGGGACCGCGACGACGACGACGACGACGACGACGACGACGACGACTTCGACAACGCTTACGACTACAACTACGACTGCGACGACGACTACCACCACTGCCACTGCAAAGACTAATGTGCTGCTGGTGCTACTGCTTTTTGAGCCAGCCTCTCTGTATTTTGCAAGGTTGCCTGCATGCTTCTTGCGCAGGTATGCTCGGACCTCACCCAGCAGACCGTCAGCTTCACTGTTTGGCCCAAGGCCGTTTGCTCGACTCGTACGGGTTTGAGCGTGTGGGTTGATTCGTATCTATGGTTCAGGTTGCGGTTGACCGGTTGAAGCTTGGCTTTTGGGCTTATGCGAGAAGCCATTGCGGACGATTCGGGCAAGATGCCTTCAATCCTGAATTTTATGATGCATTTCCCAGGACGGCTCAGAACCATCTTTTGCCACCGTCTCCTTCAAGGAGACTCTGGCGCAGGTGGGCGTGTCGGATTTCGGTAAGGCGGTGAGATTTTTCTCGCAATCACAAGGCTGACTAATTTTAGGGTCTGTGTATGTCATGGCTGCGGAAATTACCACAGTTACGACAACAGCCGTTCTAGCAATAGTCTTGAAGGCAACATCTGCGTGTTTAAGTTTAGAACTGGATACGCCTGTCCGTTTTGAAGGTTGCAGAAAGTTTTTCATCCCGCCTTAGCCGGTCTTGCCCTTGCCCCGCCGCCTCTGCAAAAGCGCAGATTGCCTGCACATGCGCCGAGACACAGAGAGCTGTCTGCACCTACTCGTGGACCAACTCTACAGGGCCCCCCAGGCCAAACTCCTGGGCACCTTGGGGGTGCATGACAAGTTGGGATTCGAGGGAGGCCCAAGAACACTGCAAAAAAAGGGTCGTGCATCTGCGACTCTTTTCTGTCGCCCCATGTACAGCTGCAGACTAGGGTATACGAGCTTATGCCGTAGCATGTTCAAGCACGGACCAAGCCTTGTCCTCCTGGTTGTTTAGCCACGGTATAATGAACCCTTTACAGGGAGGAAGGAAGAACTTCAGAGATCAGGCTCGGGGACGCGTGAATGGCCTGCCGCGCAGTGTCTGTGGCTGCTTGGAGCTGCACTCTGCGCAGTAGGGGGTTGGGGTGCACCAGTGTTGGTGAGAGTGCAGGGCTTAAGCTCTAGGATTCCACGTGCTGGTTCCGAGTGCATGCGTGGAATTCAAGTTTAAACATGACCTTCTTGCGGTGATGATGATGCTGACTCAATGCTGACGGGAATGTCATGGTCTTGGTTCGGCAGCAGCCCGCGCGGTCGGGGGGTAGGGGGCGGGGGAGCGCGGACGATCCTGTTAGCATCCTTGCTCATGCGTCTATGTTCGCTGCCATTCATTCAGGCATGGTGCAGTATTTTTCTGGTTGCCATCCACATGTAGTTGAAGGCTCAATTTATGCTTTTCTACTTGCACAGATAGGTGTGATCCTTGCAGGAGCGTGTTTTTGCTGTCTTCGGCTCTTACCCGAGGCTACCTCGCCGTGGTCATCAAGCACCTCGGCGTCTCCGTTGCGCTGGGCTCCTAAAGGACAGGGCATGCACAGCCGGTTCAGAAAATAGGCCGTGCCAGTAGTGCCATAGTAGGCGTAGTTCTTGCTACTTTGTAAGAGAGTTCCGTTTTCTTTACCAGGCAAGGAATCCGGAAGTGGGCATGGAGGCTGAAGCTTCAGATACTTACTAGACTTCCCTGGCCGCAGTCTCCTTGGGAAGCCCACCGACAGCGCTGATGCGGGCGGCGCTGTGATTTTCCTCTGCATCCAAGTTTTGTCTCTATACAGCGGACCAAGGGGCCCTACCTCGTAGTCGCAGCCATTGGCTGCAAGCTAGGAATTTGTTCCGTGGAGGCAGCTGTCGCGGCAACTTTTCAGCCTAAGCATCTCGATGGCTCATTTGCCGTGGGACGCCCTCGGTTTTTCAATTTTACGACGGTTGCAAGGCGCAACCTCTTTTGGCTGCACTGTTGGCGAAGAGCATGCGATGGAAACTGACAGATATAGCTACAGTGATGGCAAGCCTCCCGCAACAAAAGCATTGTCTCTACTGGTGCCATGCCCTTGCCAACCAATTTATGCCCAAGTCTTCGTGAACGAGAGAGGCTTCTCGCACAAAGCAAGCGATGCCACAAGGAACGTCCAAGAGCATGGTTCTACCATCAGATCGATGTGCTTTTTTTAGGGTGGCCGAGCTTGCAGTTTAGAGTATAACCCAGGCATGAAGCCAGTGCCCGAGCTCCAGACCTCTGACCTGTCCAGGCTAAAGGTTGCACACCTCTTGCCGCTTGTACAGGTTTGGGACAGACAGGATCCCGAACTCTGCCTGCTGCCCACTCAACAGCTGTCTTGAGCCAGCGCTGCTGATGCCGCGGAGGGTCGAGAACTCGACATTTGGATGTAAGCCATGGCATTGTGAAAAGGCCTGGCCCAAAAGACGTGACTTGTTCTGCATTCTGGAGATTTCGCCCCCTCGCGAAGCAATTGCATAGAAGTACAGAAGCGAGGATCCTTTCAAACCTCGAATATATAAAGACATGGTGAGCTTCGATCTACGCTTTAGAAGCATGGGTCGGTGCCTTCACTGTTTTGGCTGTGTTTAACACGGCTGAAGCTATCAACGGCGGAGTGCGTATTCTGAGTGGAGTCCAGGTCAAGTTGATCGCTACAGCCAGGGAGGGCCCCCCTTCGGGCCTGCGAAAAGTAGCAGGGCCACAGACTGCCCAATTCAGGACAGTCTGCTCTGCTGCTCTTCAGACCGTGATTCGAGTGCCTCATCCACTTGTGATGACGGCCTTTGCTGCGCCCAGGCGCCAAAATCTTGAGATTTCAAGATGCTGCTGTTTTGTGTTCGGGCATTCCGCGCCGGCATTCAGGGCGATTTGTTCCTGCAGCTCGAAGAGCCTTTGCTGTCTCTGCTGTTACGTAAAGCTGCGAATCCATCAGATCTGTCCATGTAGGTTGATTTAAGTTTGGCTCGAGCTCACCGCCCTGTCGCGTAGCGTGAGATCAGCCGACGTGGGGCTCTGAGGACTTGTGGGAGCTTCAGGGCTTTGGGAAGGTAGCTTCCGCACATTCTGTGTAGACCTTACCACTACTACTCCTGCTGCTGCTGCTGCTGCTGCTGCTACAACGGCTACTACCACCATCGACTACCACCTGCTCCTGTTCCGGCTCCTGCTCCTGCTCCTGCTGCTGCTGCTGCTGCTGCTCCCTCTCCTGCTCCTGCAGCTGCCACCAGATGCTGCTACGACTGCGACGATTATTTGAGCTGCCGCTGCTGCTGCTGCTGCTGCTGCCACTGCCAAAGAGCAACACTAGTGGTGAGGAGCTCTGTAGTCTCAGAACTGCCTCGGTAAAATCGTTCGATTGTCTTCACGGGATCCCAATATCAGGACCAACACAGCGGTAGCCGCTGAAGTTGGAGTTTTTGGCACGCCTACGCAGACCAAAAGTGACAACCCTTAATCCAAGGCCCAAGCGCGTATTGAACGATGCTGCAGTCCGCGAGCTTTCAAGGCAGGAAGACCTTCAGCAGGCCGGTTCCATGGATGCTTCCGTTATCTATCAGCCTAGAAGGCAATGATAAGTTCATCTACTAGACTCTATCGTCATCATCATCATCATCATCGTCATCATCATCAACGACATCATCATCATCATCAGCAGCAGCAGCAACCTTATCATTGTCATTATCATTACCATCATCATCAGCGTCCTCCTCCCCTCATCATCATCATCATCACCATCATCACCATCATCATGGACATCCTCATTCTCATCAGCCTCATCAGCCTCATCGTCATCATCATCATCATCCGAATCTCGATGACAAAGAGGAGTGATAATCATAATCATGTTGTCTCATGTGTTGATCTGAGCTATTCGGCTAGTTTTCTCCATTTGGTTGCTACCTGGCTGGCGTCCTGCCGCATACCAGGCCATGCAACGACTTCGATGACTTCGGTGTGCCAAGTTCTGATGATGAGAAGGCTCCAAGCCTCTCTTGCTGCCCCAATCACCACCTACATCTCCGTAGAGTTTTCACCCGACCCAGAATTATGATTCTTGGGAAAGAGGACACGATCATGATGAGGCTCAGGAGTACTGCCCGCTGCCCATACCGTTGGTTCCGATGATTGACTGATGCCAGCAGTAACCCATGATGAATGCAATGACCACCTTTTGTGTGACAGCGAGTCTAAGAGTACGACTGTCGTCCTGCAAATCGTGCTCCCGCCACAGTCCGGTTCTCATTTTTGGCCTCTAAATCGCTCGAAATTTGTGCAGTCCTGGCAGGGCCACAGCTCTCCTGGAGGTTGAAGGTTTTGGAACTGTCCGCGGAATTCGCAAATGCGGCGCGCGCATTGTTGGGGTGCGACTCGGTGGGAAGATTGTCGGTGTTTGAGGGCCCCGAAAGCGTGCTTCCGCTCCCGCCACCATGCCGTGCGTGTTTTTGGATGCCAATCCTGCTCCCACCGCGGTTTGGGCAGGTCTGAGGACCTCTGGGGGTGCTCGAAAGGTTTGGATTGAGGGGTCTGCGAGTTGCTCTTTCAGTGTTCAGGGCCGACGTTGGCGTGTTCTCTGGCTGTAAGCTAGGGCGACCATGATTGTTCTGACTACTGGTACCAACTGTTTCTTGTTCATTCCTCAACTACTCGCATTTGGGCCTGCTGCGACTGTGTTAGAGACAGAGGCACTGAAAAATTGACAGGGTACACCAACGGTCACAACCACGAACCCGCCCTCACATTGCCAGCATTGCGTTTGTTCAGTTCATGGGATGCTGCTGCCACTACAAGAGAATCGCATGGGATACTGAAAACAGGTCTTCGCTTCTTGGAAAACTTTTCTAAGTCAAGACCTGACAGAGATCTTTAAATCCGAAAGCGAGCAGAGCAGAATTTGTGATCGCGTGAGAGCAGTGTAGAGGGCAATCGTGTAGGGGGCAATCGTCCGTTCCGGGTAAGATGACTTTTCAAGCAGCATGTGCTGCTGTTTGACTCTAAGTACAGAGCTGCGTCAGCTTCTATACATTTCTATGTTACAACCTTCTCTCAGTTCCCCAGAACTTCAGAAGCCATCTTTTGCCCAGCATCCCTGTTCTAGTTTCTCACAGTCTGGGCGTTGCGCTTACAACATCCACCAACCCCACCTATCTGCCCTTACGCATAAGCCGTGCTTTTCAGGAACTGTTGAACCTTGGCCGCTATGCTTCCGCGACTGCACGCCGCCGTCAAATCAAGAAGGGTCAGGTCCGCGGCCCTGACCAGGTTCAGTCTTCGATGTTGGGTTTAGTAAAGTCTAGCCTGTTGGGGCTTAGGCTTCAGGGCTGGGGTTGAAGTTCAGAGCAGAGGATCAAGTTGCTGAGATGGCTCTGCAGGTGGTGGACACGAAGCCGGTGACGTGGCCCACAAGATTCGAGATGCAGTGTTCAGCCGTTTGAGATCTGCTGCCGAGACGGGACACGGATCCGAATATCTGCGCTCAGGCTCCAAAGCCAGAACCCATCAAGGCTCAAGAAAGTCCAAAGCTGACGCAGGCCTGGTGAGCATGTCTCGGTGCATTGCTGCTGGTCCCGGGTGCTAGCTTGGGATTCAGAAGCATGTCGACGTGCCCCTGAGCAACCTCTTCATACCTGCAGGTCGTGGTTCCGAGCAAGCCCGAGCGCAAGTCTTGGGCAGATGTGGCTTCGGACGACGAGGTGCAACTGCGCAACGGGCGGGCATTGTCCCTCCAACGTGCATGGCTCCTCACCCCGAATCTCCAATCTCTGAACCGACCCTGGACAGGACATGACGGATTTCGCCTGGACGACCCAGGAGGCCTTCCATGCTTGTTAATGACCCAAACGAGGACATAACGCCGCAGTGTTTGCAGACCTCTAGCAGAGTCACCCTTGCAAGCTCCGGTGCCATGGCCTTCTCGGCTCTTGGACTTTGCGACTTCGACGCCAGACTCTGGCAGCCTACTCACTCGCACTTGACTTGCGGTTCATTGGCACCGCGAAACAAAAAACCTCCGCGGATCGAATCAGAACTCAAGACGCTAGGGCTGCTGGGACATGACATAGGGCCACAAAGACACGCGGGTAGACGCAAGGAGAAGTTGCTGAGTTCGTCAGGCCGCGAAGGTGGTGCCTTCGCCCGTGCCTGCAGCGGACAACGCTGAGGATGGCGACGGCCGGGAGCTCGGAGATCAACTTCCGAGGCTTTGAGTTTTGTCGATCCACTTGGGAACCATGGGGCACCAAGCAGCATGTACTGGACTCCGAGGACTGTGCTGGGATCCCATCGGCATGGGCACGACGGAGATGCTTGGCAGGACCTAAAATGCTGGGTCGTGGACCGTGGCACGAAGGTTTAGTTGAGCTGAGCCCAGGGAAGAGCTGATGCCCAGGTCCTCCATTTCGGAGCTGCTCTGGAACAAGGTGAACGTGAGCAAGCCCTCTGAGACTTCGAGAAATCCCAGAGGCTTTGACAAGTGGCCCCCCTGACGGCACTCAGAGGGAGGGATGCCAGGAGAATGGTGCTTCCAGCTCGACACTGATCTTGCATAGACCATAGTTATGCTATGATCTCGCACTAGACCACGACTGCAACCGCTGTCGTGCTGCACACTGTCGTCGTGCAATTACCAGCGTGTTCTAAGTAAACTAGCTAGCTATAGCATATTGCACCATTGACCAAGACAGGCACCTCTCATCCTATGTCCACTTATCCGAGAACATCCCTAGACTTCCTAAATCTCGCAAATCAAGCCCATAGGTAGGCACCACATGAATCCTGAACGGCTGAGACCCTACAAATCCCCAAAACGCCCATCCTGAACAAGTCCCTCCCCTTTTCTGCTGCCCCTGGAGCTTGCAATAGCAGGTCATGGAGCACCACCGCCACGTCCACCGACGGTGATCTGCCGGAAGATGAGGAGCGAAGTATCCAGAAGTCTTCCGTGGTAATGCAAGCGCCGAGGCTTGTGTCCCAAATCCGAGAAGCCCTCCTCTTATCCTCAAGCTCTAAGCTCCAAATGGGAAAGGTACTCATGGGAGCTTCAACTCTTCAAACAGGGGGCTTCTCAGCGGCCCCAGGGCAATATGAGCCTGAAGTCTTCCGAGTTTCCGGTAGTGCCAGGTCGCCTTGTTGCTCCTTCTAAACAAAATCTGTCCTCGGCTGGTTCAGGACGTGTCGCCGTCTGCGGACGTGTCGCCGTCTGCGCGGTCACAGGCGGTACAGTGTTTAGGGTTTGAGTTGATGGAAGCATCGCTTCCTATGATGGTCTGGTCATGGTCGAAAAACGAGAAAAGCCAGGCAGCACCAGCAAACTGTAGTGCATATTCACCACAGCGGGGATGCCGCCATCCTGCATTGCAAGAAATCTGGCAGACCTCCACCGAAACTGGCTTTCAAGCCGATGCCGACAGCCGTCGGTTGGGGTCCCGTTCCCGGCTGGGGGGCCCGAGAGTTTCCTCCACGAGCTGCAGAGGCTCCGGTCAGCGTCATCAGCTCGGAAGACAGCGCATCCTTGCAGGCCACGGAATCTATGGTGAGTTACTGTATCGGTCGAACTGTCAATCTATCCGTCTATGGATTTATCTCTGTTTCTATCTATCTGTCAATCTATCGACAGATCTATCTATCTATCCATCTACCTACCTACCGATCCATCTATCTATCTATCTATCTATCTATCTACCCACCTATCCATCAATCAACCTATCAACAGGCCGATCTATCTATCTATCTATCTATCTATCTCTCTATCAACCTATCAACGGACCAATCGATCTATCTAGCTATCCGTCTATCTATCTATCTGTCTGCCTATACATATTAGGTACTATGCGTGTATACTCTCTGTGTGTGTGTGTGCATGCATCCACACACACACATACATCAAATACATATGCGGATATGTGTATACGACGTATGTGTCTATGTCTATGTATATATGTGTGTATGTACCTCTGTGTGTGTATTTAAATACATACTATATATGTGCGCATGTATATGCTTGCATGCATGTATGCATTGTATGTATGTATGTATGTATGTATGTATGTATGTAGATAGGTATGTATTTATCTATGTATGTATGTAATTATGTATGTATGTATGTATGTATGTAAGTAAGTATGTATGTATGTATGTATGTATGTATGTATGTGTGTGTGTATGTGTGTGTGTATGTCGTATGTACGTGTGTACGTGTGTATGTATGTATGTATGTATGTATATGTATATGTATATGTATATGTATATGTATATGCATATGTATATGTATATGTTTATGTGTATGTGTATGTGTATATATGATATATGTATGTATGTATATGTATATATGTATATATGTAGATACGTATATAGGTATATATGTATATATGTATATATGTATATTGGTCTATTGGTATATTGGTATATTGGTATATTGGTATATTTATATATTGGTATGTATGTATATGTGTTTGTATGTATATATGTATATATGTATACATGTACATATGTATATGTGTACATATGTACATATGTACATATGTATATATGTATATATGTATATATGCATTTATGTATGTATGTATGTATGTATACATGTATATATGTGTGTATATGTATATGGGTATGTATGTATGTATGTATGTATGTATGTATATGTGTGTGTATGTATGTATGTCTGTGTATATACATATATGCACACCATTGTACATGTGCATATATGTGCACATGTACATGTGTGTATATGTGTAGGTGTATGTCTGTAGACATGTAGATATGTAACCGGAGTGTGTGTGCAGACACATGCGTTTATAAATATATACATGTACGTACGTACATACATAGACGCATGCATACGGTATACCTGTATATGTATATCTGATTGTATGTCTGCATAAGCATGTGCGGCCCGCTGTGATAGCATGCATAGGCCATGATGTCAGGCTGTAAGCTGTTCTGCATAACCATATCCATTATCTGTATCGGCAGCCGATAGGTATATATGTATAACATGTGTCTAGGTGTACATAGTGTATGCGAAAACAGGCCAGTCAATGTCGCATTTTCAATGGTATGTTGGTTTGATAATAATTAGCTGTTTTCGCCCAGCTGTTGGTACTTGCAGCAGGCATGGGCTTCTGGACAGTACTAGTAGGCTGATCATATGTTTTTGCACAGGCAACAATTGCAAAGCGCACACCGGTTCTTGTGGACTGAAGCACAAGTTTTTTCGACAGACCGGCGTCTTCCTGGCCACGTCTACCGACGAGTCAGACAAGCCCCTTGGCCGTGTTCAGTGTCGCGCTTCAGAACTATTGTTCTAAACGTAGTCGCGTCGTTTGCTTTTCAGGCCCATGCGAGAGGTTGTTTTGTTCATCTGAGGCAGCGGGTATCGTCCGCGCCGGCCATGATGCAGGAGCAAAGAAGGGGACGGATGGGGTCGTGGAATCAGATAGTCAGGGCTGGCTTGGTATGGATGTTCCCCAGTTTTCTCGCGTATTTGCGCACTCTCGAAAGAGCTGGCTTGCAAGCAGGAGGCATCACAGCGGGTCGCACCTACCTTTGTGATGCCAATGCCGTCCCAGGCTCGGGACTGACGGATTCGTACCCAGCCATAGGACAGTTAACAGCCTGTTCATTCCTGAGCGCTTTTTGAAACCTTTACCGCTGCAGGCAGCGCAGGCGACAATGGTGGCTGTGCCAGCAGTTCAAGCAGTACAAGCAATGCCAGCAGTGCAAGCAGTGCAAGTGCAAGCGATGCCTGCATTTGCCGCTGTGCCATTCCCTTTCGGCATGGGCATGGGTATGCTGCCTGCCGTCATGACGATGATGCGTTGCTGCACTTCAGACGTCACATGAATGTGCTGGATCTGCACTGCATGTCCTATGCCGCACTGGATGCTGTGACTACACTGGGATGAGATCCTAGCCACTCTCCTGTCCTCCCGACCCTGGTACTCCAGTTCTACTCCCTGAATTGTCGCCGCAAGCTTTCAGGAGCCAAGTAGATAAGACATCTGGCTTACTGTAGATTGTGCTAGGACAAGCATTTGGATCACACGTGCATGTCGAATATTGGTTCGTGGAGAGAGAGGATGCACGAACTCGAACTGAGAAGTGGTTCTGTCAACACGGACCACCAACAGGCACGAATGCGCGCACACATGTGCAAACTGCAAACTAGTTTGCAGTGCCATACGAAAAACCATGTAGTTATGCATGCATGCATGCATGCATGCATGCATGCATGCATGCATGCATGCATGCACGTTCGTCCTTATTGTGCGCGTACATTGTATGTACGTACGTGCATACGTTCGTAGGTAGGTAGAGTGGTGGATAAGTAGGCTGACGGGCAGAGAGGCAGGCAGGCATGTATGTATGGTTGTATGTATGTATGCACGTATGCATGTGCTCATGAATGTCTGGACGCAGGTGTATGTCTGAATGTGTGTGTATGCCTGTATTTACGTATCTAGACAGGCACGGGCAAACATTCATACCCTGTAGCAGCATGTTAACTTGCATTGTGTATACAAACATGAATAATAACCTAATATGTGTCCAAGAAGGGGGTGCAGCTCGGCAGACAAGCAGGCCGCGGCATGCACACATATTCATGCAGATACGGCAGCCTTAATGCCAAAGCTGCTGGATCGATTGCTAGATTGCTAGATGAGATTGAGAGACAGGTGCCGCCACATCACTCCTGTCAGCGTTTTATAAACCGGATGAGCCAAGGACACAGCACGTTCCCAGGCAGGTCGAGTCCCAGCAGACTCGGGGAAAAGAGGAGGAGATCGCGTCTCGGCTGTGTGGCATTTGAAGGTGCTAACTCGGCGCCAGGGCAGAAGCTAGCCACAACCGCACCAACAGAGCCGAAAGAAACATGATGGCTTTCCCGTGGTTCGGGCTGCTTCGTCCCTTTGCATTTGCTGCTCCTCCATTTCTCACGAGTATGCCCCAATATCTCAGAATGTTAGACTTCTGTGTAAGTGCCGGGTCTTTCCCCTTTAGAGCTTTCACCTCGTACGCTAGGCCCTCGACCGCATGCCCCTTGCATGAAACATCAGGCGTGTAGAGATTCGGGTTTGGGTTCCTGTATAAGCCCTATAGACCCTGAGATCTCAACCCAGTAGAACCGATCTCCAGCATCCAATCTGAAGTGGAGTTCCAGACAGTAGGGCGCCCGAACAAGGCCGCTGAATTGTAGAATCTGGGAGTTTTGGAAACCCCCTCAAGTGCTCGGTCCCGAAGACACAAGGCTCGTCCGATTGCGCTCCGCTCTGGTCTTGGCCTTGAAGGAGATATTATTACCCTCCCTCCTGACCAAAAGCCGACAAGACAAACTGATGGTTGCGCGATTTGCTCGTCCTCCTAAAGCAATGAGAAGTGCCCCGCCGCCCCCTCCCGCCCCACCCGAGCATCGTTGGTGGACTCCATGCGACCCTCTAAGCACGGAGCGGAGCACGGATGGGTCTTCAAATAATGTTTCGCCAGGCCGAGGTTTGTTTCCTGGTTGGCCTTTTTTCGGGTTGAGGGTTTAGGCAACTCTTAGTCAGCGATTTTTCTTTCGTGTGTCTGTTGATCCTTGCGGCATGGCATACCTGTCTGTACATACGCTCAGGTGTACTAAGATGCGCAGCTATACAGTCGTAATACATGCCTATGTGCTACAGTTTATACGTTTATAAGGCTAGATGACCCTATCATACTTAATTATGTGTTTACGAATGGGTGTTTCAACGCTTAACGGTTATATGTGTGTAAAATATTGCCTACCTACATACATGCATAAATAAATTGACATCAATACATAACAAATAAATACATACATACGCCCATTTGCACATACATATACATAGACATACACATATACATATACATATACATATACATATACATGTACATATACATATACATATACATATGAATGTACATGTACATATGCATCTGCCTATACATACATACATACATACATACATACATACATACATACATACCTACATACCTACATACATACATACATACATACATACATACATACATACATGCAGTTACATTACATTGCATCACATCACATTACATTACATTGCATTACATGCCATTGCATTACATTAATTACATTACACTACATTGCACTGCATGACATTGCATTACATTGCATTACATTGCATTACATTGCATTACATTGCATTACATTACATTACATTGCATGCGTATACCTACACACGTGCAAATGTAAATCCGTACATGCGTACATAGGTACACAGGTACAAAGACACATACATGCATATGCATTTACAGATTAGTTGACCCCTGGTAGAAATACACATATTCACACATACACACACACACAACCAACTTGGCGAAGAATCGGCAGCTCAGGGCCTATCATCACTGCATGGAAGTCCTAATCTATTTTGTGGTTTGGATGTTACGATTTACGCCTTCGGTTCCCAACAACCGCGATACGTTTACCACCCCGAAAGCACTGCCCTATCTTGTTATCTTGTTTGTCTGAGCATTGTTCCAGCCTTCGTCGAAGAGGACCACCTATGGGCACATCGCATCGCTTCCACCAGAAGAACAACACCATGGGCGTCCTGAGTGAAGACGCTCGCACCTTCACCAAGCGCTCCAACAAGGCTTGTTTGTCCTTTTTCTTCAGCGTTTATCGCTTCAGCGGCTTATTCATACTCAGCGGCTTATTCATACTCAGGCCAGCCTTAAGCTGCCCCGTGCGGTGTATTGCGATGCAGGGCATAGTCAGCGCGTAATGGCGAGCGCAGCAAAAGATGCAGCAGAGAGTAGTGCAAGAAGCTATGCAATACCGCTGCACAGAAGCAAGCGTCAAGTGCCGCCCAGTGTAGGCGAGTATGGAAGAGCGAACAAGCCTATGCCATACGGGAACCTTCCATGTCGCCAGTACCATCCCAGTAGAATTACCTACAGTCGTCAGTACCCTCGTAGCCATGCTGCAGCATCTGATGTCTCAGATGCAGTTCAACACGTGCTCTGTGCAGTACCAATATATCGACAGCCGATTGCCGACAGGGCAGACTTAGCATCGTCTGCGAGAACAAGGTCCACTTCCAGGGGACGGTGCGTTATGCCGTAACTGGGCAGACAAGTGATCTTCGAGGTCATAAGCCCCAACACATGAACTCATCTTGCGGGTCGTACGAGGTGCAGTTCACCGATGGAGAGCTTTGCAGTGCAGACGGAGCAGCATGGCGTAACGAGGTTCAGTCTGCCTTGGTCCTCTGGAAGTCAGGGCATCATGATGGATTCGTGGAGAATCTGTGTTCAGGGGCCCAACTTAGGCAGGGATACGCGTACTGCCGGGATAGACGTACTATTATGGAGTTTTTCATGGTTCTCTCAAAACCTTTGATTTGGGAGTTCAGCACTACTACTGTCAATAGCATGATCATACAGAACGGCAGATAACTGTGTTTCCTGGACCTAGAGCCACCCAGGCAGTAGTAAAGTTAGAATGCATTGGACAAACAACAACTCACACTCGTCNNCTCAGAACACAGCCGCCCTTGAAGCCCTGACATCAACCCCATGGACGCCGCTTTGTGTTCTCGACGGACCGGAAGACGATCTTGCTGGAGCAGGTGCCTTCCACCCCCCATTTGCACTTGGCTCATGGCTTAGAGTTGCACATGTTCCTGTTGCACGCATTCATGTTTGAAGCATTGCTGCAATGGAGCAGGGCATGATCGGTTGCCGCACGCTTGGATCAGAATGAGCCTAATACATGACCTGTCACAATGACACTCACACACAGATGCCAACATGGCACTGCAGGAATCACTGGGTATAGCAGACATGTGGGAATTTGAAGCTTGAATGATTCAACATTAATAGTAGAGAGCAGCCTAGGGCACCAGCATGAGGACACGATTTAGGTAGGCAACTAGCGGATCGACATAGATTGGGTAGGCAGCTTGAGAGCTAGCTTATGAGGCCCCTTTATTGGGTTCAGTGTCTCATATTACTACTCCCTGGACTTTTCCACTCGTCACTCGCCGTTCATTGCGCCATGTCCTGGTCGGACAATCCAATCCTTGTGCCCCACTCAAGGAGTTCACGGGGGGCGGCATGCAGACCAAATGGGAATGGGTCGAGAAGAAAGACGCTGTCAGACAGAACGTAATGATCGTTACTTACAGAGCGGACATGTGATACTCGGATGGATGCTGCATCTTGTCAAGGAGCTAGACAGTCATCAAATTGTGTGCAAGCAGAAGTGCACTTGTAAACACATGACATCATATGTTTGACTTGCCTACTTGAGGTCAGGAACAGAAGTACGCCCAGGGTTTCTTCGGGCACCGTGTTGGATTTCCTGAAGCACAAGTTCAAAAGCAACCCGGAGGTCTCCGTGGTTACCTTCGACGTACAAACCTTGGACTGACAAACACGGACATGAACCCAGGGCCCCGAACGGTGTCTCGCGAGCATTGCTGTGCATGGACTGCTTGGTGGCTTGCGCAGCTCGACTCTACTTTGATCCCAGTCCAGCTACGGCAACCCGGCGGTCAACTACAACGTGCTGAAGCACCTCACCATCTGCTGAAAAGGCATGTGGCAGGCGTTGGTGCAACTCATCGGACTTCTGGGTCTGGCTGGAGCGTTCGTGATCGTGCCTGTGCTGAGACTTTGCCGCACATTGGAGTTCGTCCTGGGTGTGCCAAGGTGGTATTCATGTTGGTGCTGGTCGGCACAGACAGACAGCTCCGACTGGAAGGGCAAACACAGGGCCGCCGACGGCTCTTGCACTCGCCTGTACCGCCTGTACTTACCCGATCTACATGGTCACGTTCAACGACCCGGGTTGCTGGGACCCTCGTTGGTACTTCGTGCAGCTACCCGAAGGACAACGCACGGAGGAGGTTAGGGACTTCGTGGCATCTGCCATGGAAACCGCGAAGTACGCTTTCAAGACCGAAGACTCCGGCACAACCTCGGCGCGCCTGACTCGGACCTCGCCACGTGGGTCTATGAGAACCAACTTGTCTCGCAGGTCAACGTCGACGGATACTAATTACCCGGACACGGAGGAGGACGAGGTGCTCCAGGACTTCAGAGCTGAACTCAGCCGGACCGCTCGAAGAACAAAAGTTAAACAGGATCAGGACATGCAGGACCAAGAGGAGGAGGCCGATGATGAGGAGCAGGACGCTGCCACTGGCCCTGGCGACGGACCCATGACTCATGACCATGGCTAAGACTTCGCCGAACACCTCCTTCCCGATGGACGATATTGGACGATGCAATTGACGATGATGGTTATCTTCGTGTGGCCCGCACTCGCCCCCCAAGATGTGTTGAACCACACCGCGGTGGACATGATCGAGCACGCACTGTACCAAGCCCGTCTCAAGCGTGCTGGCTGACATTGACATCTTGGCTCTGGAACTAGTGTACAGTTGCATTGGCCTTTGATTTGCCCTTCTAAAATCAGACTACTTGCCTGGAGAGTGCACTGGGTTTGCTTGCTTGGAGCATGGCTGTGCTTGATCTGCGCTTGTATGTGCGCCTCATGTGCGGTTGATCTGCGCTTCGGGGTTCCCTGGGGCTGCTGTTGGTTTATATAAGCCTTGCCTGCCCCGCCTGGAATCTACATAAGGATTGCTTTGGATCTGTGCTTGGTGGGCTTTGCCTGTGCATTCGGCAAGCGTTCCTGTAGCGCTCCTTGTCGAGTGCTGAGGCAGTGCCATCATCTGGACTGTGGTGGCCTTTGTATTTATTGCTCACCACAATGGCCTTTGACTTAATATCAGACTATTTGCCTGGAAAGTGCACTGGGCTTGCTTGCTTGGGGCATGGTCTGCGGTTGATCTGCGCTTGATCTGCACCTGATCCGCGGATGGGTTGTTCTTATACAAAAGACGTCACATCCACAGACCCACTCGCAGAACCGCGGAACTCTTTCCCAGACACACACTGGACCATGACATGTCGCATGCTGAGGCATCAATACACGGATGTATAATTGAGGCCCCGTCCCCAAAGCATACACAAACTCGGCTCAGGCGCTTAAAGTTTTATCAATTTGACAACATGTTAAACGAACTAGACATAAAATTCATACACACACACACACACACTGTTGATTTGCAGAGTCCCTTTTGCGCACGATCCTGCAACAGATGCTGCAAACACAGTGCTGCGCAGCCCTCGGAACAGACCCAGGCCCGATCTGGACCCCCACAGGGCAGCAAGGTACGCCTGTCCCTACAGCACGTCCCCCCCGCCTAAGTTGGCTCCCAATTTGTCAGCGCTGTGAACGCAAGCCTGCTCCGACTGTTTGCAACGATGTCGATTGTGGGCTGGTGTATTGCCGCAGCCTAATTAGCAACTTATGGTCTGCAAGGTGGGCTTCATCATCTCCTCGGATCTTCCTTGCACCAAGAACATTCAAAAGATCGTGTCGGTGTTCGCCAACAGAACCGGGCGAATCTGCAGCCTGGTCCCGATGGGTACAGTAAGCACAATATGGACCATAAGGTTGGAAATTGGAAAAGGATGACGACTACAGTTTTCCCTGTAGCTTGCTTTCGGGGCATAGCCCAATGAGTTTTATGAGTTTCCAGTTCCATGGAAGTTATTGTAATCACCGTAGTTTACCATGTCTTGCAAACTGGCATGCTTTCGAATAGCAGACTGTTGTGCTGGCGTCAGATCCATACTTGCGCTTTATAGACACATGTCTGCCGTCACACATGCGCGCGCCGACAGACCCTTTCTCTACTTCCTGTCGTGCTAGCAGGCATCCGGGTGCACGACGAGGTCGAACGTTGCCCACAAAGGGTGAAATGCTTGGAAGTCGGAGACTGGTTGGAGGCGGAATGTCGTGTCACGGTCTATTCTGCCAGCATCATTGGATACTAATCGTTGTCCTCATTTTGTCGTCGGGTCGTAATTAGGTACTTTGTTGATTATTCATCTGGGTTGGTCATGGCGATGATGTGTGGACTTGGTCAACACACCGTCGGTAAGCAGATGTTGCAGAAAGGGTTAAGGCAACCTTTGGTAGATTATGGCTCTTCACCGGAGCCGTCTACAGGTTTCGTCCTGTACGAGGAACTACCGCTGCTGCTGCTGCTGCTGTTGCTACCGCTCCTACTGCTGCTACTACTCGGCGACGACGACGACGGCTATTACTGCTGCTGCTACTTCTACTAACTGCTACTACTACTACTACGACGACGACGACAACAACTAGTACTACTTGTATATTCGTCATAACACCATATAACACCACCACCACCTACAGCAGCCACGATTGCTACCCCTACTCCGACCACCCCTGCTCCTCCTACTCTTACTGCTACTCCTACTACTTACTATACTTACTACAATTACTTATTCAACTCATGCTGCTGCTGCTACTACCACTACTACTGCTGCTACTACCACTACTACCACTACTACCGCTACTACCGCTACCACCACTACCACCAC